GAGCAGATAGATATGCTGCAAAGTAAATACAGCAAAATATTGATTGTAGAATTTGAGTGATGAGTGTATGTGTTTATATAATTATCTCAATGTCTATGTCAAATTTTTCATAATAAAATGTTGGGGGAAGAGCTATCAGTTGCCCTCCTCCACAGTTGATTCTCTTTGCAGCTGAACTCATCTTGGCATTTCAAGATAACTTTGTTATCAGTAGTTCACATCAAAATATAGATGAACAATAACAGTTTTTAAACACTGTTAGAGTGTTTTTTTTTTTTTTTTTGTGGCTCTTCTTAGCTTACTGGGGTTCCTTTTAAGATTAGATGGTTTGGAGAATAAAAGTCCCACGATTTAAAAGGAAGGCATTGTTCTGAATGGTTGAATTTTATATATATCGACTGACTAAAAAGGGTATTTCATGCTGGGAAAATGTTTTTAGGCAAAGGAGGCAGGCCAGTCTCACTTGACTGCCTTCTGGGTGAGCTGTCTTAAAATTTTCTAATATTTTTGACATCTCAGGTTGTAAGATTTTTTTAAAACTTAGGTTCAGACTTTTTAACTCAGAGGCCACATTTGTGTATGTTACATTTCTATTTGACTGTAAGAATTTGGGACTAGGAGTAGGATTTTGGCTTAATGGCAGTGAGGGCTGTAGAGGAGTTGCAACAGAATACTTAGTGGCAGGAAAATGGTAGGGCTTCCAAAGAACAACCACCACATAATTGAAAGGTAGAAGTATTTTAATTGTAGAATTTTTCATTATAAGAGTGCAAATAAATGTAACTTGTATGCAGTTTTGTTTTTTTATATGGGATAGTTCATTATTAACAGTGACATCTCTAACCTAAGTTTGTATTAATACTTTTGATTAAAATGGGCTAGTTCAAAAATTGTTTCCTAAATGTTAAACTAAGTACTTACATTGGGTAAATGATAGGATTTCCCTCATTTATAGAGATTAAGTTTTAGAAATCCTTGAAACATGAATATTTGTTTACTACATAAATTGCATCAGATGTTCACTTTGTTGTCAAAACTGCTTTTCACTTTTTTTTTTTTTTTTTAGTTTTTCAAGGTTATGTCAAGGATCAGTTTTTTAAAAACATTTTTATTGTTTTTCTTAAAGAGAAGATATATACAGTTCAAGGAATTATCAAAAAGTAAATACTCATATAATCACCTCCAGGGTGAGAAATAGAACTTGGCCAGCATTCGGCAAAGCTCTCCTTGTGCTCTCTCCCGACTACTTCCACTGCAGGGTTAACCATGATCCTGACTTTTATGGTAGCCACTTGTTTCTCTCTCTCTCTCTTTTTTTTTTTCATTATAATTATTATACTTTTTTTTTAAATTGTACTTTGGGTTCTGGGGTACATGTGCACATTATGCAGGATTGTTGCATAGGTACATAATGGTTTAATCACCTAAGCATTACAAAGGATACATTTTCAATTACTAAAGCAGGAGATTATTGGTTTAATTTAGGGGTTCTTAACTCTAACTTCATACCTCATTTTTATATTTTGTAATGCTCCTGTTACTATCCTGAAATGAAATTCGTATACAAAATGACAAACATGTAATTAAAAAATTTAAAGTATATTTGTCCTAGCTATAACAGAAAAAAAAAGTAATTTTATAATGGCATACTCATTTTAAGTGTAAATGGGCATGACTACACTAGAAGACATAATGAAGTAGTCAGATACTTGTACCCTGCTTAAGTTTGTAGGTACAGTAGGCAGATGTTTGTACTTACTTAAGATGAATATGTTTGGATTTAAGAGAAATAAGACAAGAGTTATCTGAATAGTGTTGACAGTACTTAACATTGATAAAATGGTAAAATAAGAATATTTATGCATATAGGTAGATCAATGTGAATGTCTCACCTGGAAATGCCTGCTAATTGTGTTGTATTGATGATTCAGGTATTATGAGGGGCATTGCTGTTGGTAGAATAATCTTCTGTAATGGTGAACTTACCTTTTAACATTCTGAAGAAAAGAGTACACATTTTTCCTGTTACATAATAGATGAATACTTGGAAAAGAGGGTTTTCACCAATAATTTGTGGAGGCGTATTTGAAAATTTGATGCAGTGGGAACATAATACTTCATTGTATGGGTCTGCATTGCAGAATATCTGCTGTCCTGTTTCCTGCCCCCACCCCTCCACTCCCTACTTCCCACCCCCTACTCCCCACCCCAGTAGTACCACCCAATCATAATGCCTAATGAAAATACCTTGTAAGGGGCAGTATCACCTAAAGGGTTATATGTTTATAGCACTTTCATAAGGTATATATATATAACTTCTCTTATCTGAAGACCTTAAGATTTCATCAGGCCTTTTAAATCAGCTGAACCTGGCTTTCCAACTCATTTTACCTCCCACAAAAGTCATTGTAAAATTTTTGTGAATATTTACCTATGTCTGTTTTTCTGATGCAGGATATGGCTTTCATCAGGTTCTTTAAGGGTTCTTTCTATAACTCACAAAAGTGGACTGGATTATTTCTTCCCATGACCTGTTTTAGCTATTAAATCTGGTTATTCCTTTGCTAATGTTCATCAGTACTTGCTAATTTTCCATTTTAAACTAGGAGAGGAGCTCAGATTCTGAAGTGTCTGCTGGGAGCAACCCTCATTGAGAGGCTTGGTTAGAGGGATACAATGTAGCAGAAAATCTCAAATTCATTTGTTAGGTGGGTTTATTATAGGTAATTCTATGTTTTACTCACAAGGGTAAAAAGTCTAGTTAAGAATTTTGTTTTGGATATCCAGAATTTACAAAGAACTCAAACAAATTTACAAGAAAAAAACAAGCCCATTCAAAAATGGGCAAAGGATGTGAACAGACACTTTACAAAAGAAGACATACATGAGGCCAACAAACATATGAAAAAATGCTCATCATCACTGGCCGTTAGAGAGATGCAAATCAAAACCACCATTCTCCAATTGAATTGATAGCATGGGGAGAAATGCCAAATGTGGGTGAAGGGGAGGAAGGCAGCAAAACACACTGCCATGTGTGTACCTGTGTAACTATCTTGCATATTCTGCACATGTACCCCAAAACCTAAAGTGCAATTAAAAAAAAAAAAGAATTTTGTTTTGAATTGGTGGGATTTATTTTGATACATTATCATCATCTTTAGGTAATACATATTTTTATGTCTAGAAAGCCCACAATCTGTATTGACTGTTATAATCCCTACTGGGTAGTATCATGAAATGTAAATACTATTTCAGAATTTATACAATTCTTACCGCGTTTGTTGATGAAAATTGACACACAGTCGTTTAAAAAATCAGTTAAAAAATTTTACCTTAGTTTGGATAATTGATACTTTTTAAAATTGGGGAGAATTTAAATTAATAAAACATTTAAATACTAAAAACATAATTACGAAAATAAGTAATTAAAAATAATTATGGATTATTCACATTTTGGATTAGGTTTGTTCAGAATTAAAATTTTGTGGCATTTCTTTTGTCATGTTACTAAGAAATTGGATCTTTAATCTGTGCTTGCTACTGTTAAAGTCCTAGTGAAAATAGTTCTATAAAAATTTACATTTTCAAGTATCTGTAGTACTTATGGGTTTGAGAATGTTAAGAAATGGAATTTGTCTTTAAAACTCCTGGTTTTGTCACTTCAAAACATATCTCCAGCCAGCCATTTTGTGGATTCATGTGGTAAAATGGGCACATTGAAGTTTTTCATCTTTGCTCTCAGACTAGTTTTCTGGTGGAGTTGTTAGATGCTTTTCAAAGAGAAAAAGCAAGCATCTGGGGTTGGAGAAGCAGCAAAAAAGGTGTATGTTGTAGATGGAATGATTAGCTTGACCATATAATGAAACAAGCAGTTCAGGAGATCATACTTTATCGTATGTATGCTTTTTTTTTTTTACAAAAAAGAAATATATAGACCTGTAAAAATGCTTTCTTTTCTTTAACTGTTTGCCTGCCTTTATATGTTTTCTTCTAATTTTCAGTGCTTTCTATCTCCTTCCTCTCATCCTAGTTCCAAATTTTTATTTCTTAGAAAATAATTTTGCTACTCACAGACTTGAAGCATAGGATAAAATTATTTTACTTAAGGGGTTGAAATAAGCGTCTTTTAATAATCTTGCTTTTGCAAAATTTTAAAAGACATGCTTATTCATTAACATTGAAATAAAGAAAATACAGCATTTATAATAGTTTTCTTTGATTCCTGCCTTCTAGCTTTAAAAAATATATATATAGCTTTAAAACAGATTGTTTTTAGAACCATGTAAAATTTACTTTTGGAATAGTTAGAACTGTGGTTATTGCTTCCAACGGGAACTTGTTTTTATCTTCTGCCTCCAAATTAACAGGTATTTTATTTTGTTGTCTTAATCAATCTGCGTAAGTTTTCTTTAGGCTTTTCTTAGGCAAAATGGATTGGGTTCTTTGTTTTTATAATTTTATGTTGTTTGGGTGCAGAATCAAAGCTTAAAAACTTTGTATCCAGAGCATATGGCATAATAAACACTAAATATGTGAATGAATGAATGGGTTGAATAACCAACAAAATTGAGTTGAAGCAAAAGCACTGATGCCGTAGGATGTAGGGTCTTCAGCTATAGAGATTTTTGCAGTTGGCCTAGTAAAATAAAGATTGGCACTGTTTTGCAGACAACTGGGAAATTCTGATATTTTCAGCAATGTGGTGTAACATACTGTAAAAATACAGTTGTAGCAAAAGTTTCAGAGTACTTTTTTTTGATAGAAATTATACATGTTTACTGGAGAAATTTTGTGAAATATAGGGAATGAAGAAGAAAATACGACTTGTTTTTAAGTCTATCACCTGGAGAAAAAGGCAGTGTTAGTAGCCATTTGGGATATTTATGCCTGTAGATGTCAACACATAATTTAAATTGAGATTATATACTTGTAGTTTTGAATCCTTTGTTGTCGAGAATCCAATTAAATTTTTTCTCTTTAATTTTTAAACTTTACAGGCCCCTTCACAGATGTAGTCACTACAAATCTTAAATTGCGAAATCCATCGGATAGAAAAGTGTGTTTCAAAGTGAAGACTACAGCACCACGCCGGTACTGTGTGAGACCCAACAGTGGAATTATTGACCCAGGGTCAACTGTGACTGTTTCAGGTAGCAAATCATGTTCTAAATTTATGTACATTTGAATTTTGACATTTTACGATTATGGTTTTAATATGATTTCATATGGAGGGAGGGAAATAATTCTTATGTTAGCCTGCCTTTGCCTTTAAGGATGTCTTATTATTGTACTGTATGCAAGCTGTTTAAAAAAATTTCTCACTCTCATCTTCTGTGTAAGGGGTGTGGTCAATTTATAGGAAATTACTGTCAATTATAAATTTTATATCTGTATTTTTTTCAGCTCACTACTGCCTTCTCTTTCTTTATTATTTTATCTTTGAAAAATTACATCATTTTTCTGACTAGTCATTTTCCTTCAGATCTTGAGCATATTACATGCAGCTATAGAAGTACCATAATTATTTTGCTTAAAAAGGTACAATGCCACTTTTTTGCCTACTGTGTCAAATCAGATGAGTCTTTATGCCTTTCATTGTAAATGTCAAGTGTCCTGCTTGTGAAAACTTTATTTTTATTTTACTACTCTCTTATGTGTTTATTTGTCAAAGTATGCTTGCCATATATGGATTGCTTACTCCTGCTATGCAGTTGATACTGGTACCAGAGCTAATGCCCCCATAAATGGTTTCTTTTCTCAGTCCCTCTGATTTCACTAATATAGCTGAGAAATAGGAAGCAAATATGAGAAACTGTATGGTTCCGTGTATTTTGCTTATGAGAGAACCTCTCAGGCTGCCCGCAGAGACCATTTACTCTTTATTTATAGCAGTACTTCTCAATCCTGCTATGTATTGTAATAACACAGGGAGCAGGAACACACATGGATTCATCTCTCCCAGATTGGAATCTCTGGGAGCATGGCTTAGAAATGTATACATTAAAAAAAAAAAAAAACCTGGGTGATCTTGCTAAGTAATCCTAAGGCACTGTAATAATTCTATATCAGTTTTCAAGTCCATAGCAGAATTGGGTACAGAGAGTGAGGACCTAGGGTAGGCTTACTGAGAGTATTTAGAGGTGGAACTTGACTGCAAAGGCCATGAAGGACCCACAACAGTCAGAGTTCTTGGTGACACTAAATCTTCCCTCAGCAGGTATAGACCAAAATCTCAAGAGCTAGGAAAAAGATGTTTTAGTGAGTCTTGAGGTAAGAAGAGTAGGGAGGAGTGCTTTTCATGTTTCTTTGCTAAGTCTAATTCATCATTTCCTGGGAGAGAGAGATGGGAAATAAGATAAAGGAAGGAATGCATGTACTCTGGATGTTGCTCTCTACTGCATGTTTAAGCCTTTAGCACAATTGGAAGAAGATAGAATTCTTTCTTCCTTTTCTTATTTTTACTTTTTGAGATGGAGTTTTGCTCTTGTTGCCCAGGCTGGAGTGCAATGGCACGATCTTGGCTCACTGCAACCTCTACCTCCTGGGTTCAGGCAATTCTCCTGCCTCCTAAGTAGCTGGGATTATAGCTACTTAGAAATGTGTACATTAAAAAAAAAACCTGTGTATTAAAATACACGGAACCATATATGTTCTGGCATGTACCACCTTGCCTGGCTAATTTTGTATTTTTAGTAGAGACGGGATTTCTCCATGTTGGTCACCTGGCTGACCTCAGGTGATCAGCCAGCCTGCCTTGGCCTCCCTAAGTGCTGGGATTACAGGCGTGAGCTACTGCACTTGGCCTTTTCCTCCCCTCCCCCTCCCCCTCCCCTTACCCCTCCCCCTCCCCTTCCCCTTCTTCCCCTTCCTTCCTTTTCCTTCTTTGGTTTCTTTTTTTCTTTTTGATGGTGTCTTGCTCTGTCACCCAGGCTGGAGTGCAGTGGTATGATCTTAGCTCACTACAACCTCTGCCTTCCGGGTTCAGGCAATTCTCTTGCCTCAGCCACTTGAGTAGCTGGGATTACAGGCATGTGCCACCACGCCTGGCTCAGTTTTTGTATTTTTAGTAGAGACAGGGTTTCACCATGTTGGCCAGGCTGGTCTCAAACTCCTGACCTCAAATGATCTGTACACCTTGGCCTCCCAAAATGCTGGGATTACAGGTGTGAGCCACCACACCTGGCCAGGAGATATAATTATTTCAATCTACATGGCTAAAAATAGTTTATTGGTACAAACAGTTATAGCTCTAGGAATCCATGCAGCTATGCAGAATGACTTTTTCTTTGAGGGCACCTAGATTGCTGGTTTCTGTGTATTTATATTTCTTGAAAATTACTTATCAAGGCACTTTCTCCCACAGAAACCTGACTTACTAAAACCTTCAGGTGAACTAGTTACTGATTACACAAGCATGCCCTTGGATTGGTCTACTCCAATTAGAATTTAGCTTTTTCAATTTTTAGTGTAGTGTATTTCCATTTACAGTCATTCGAAGCTATGCTACTTCCAGCAACCTCTGATTAATTCTCTGTACTGCATGCTCATTTCTCTTTTTCCCACATTCCTTTAGCACTTTGCTTTTTGAATTTGCTTCTTTAATTTGTTCACATTTTTACATACATTTTCGAGATCGTCTTTGTCTTGTTATGTGGTTTGCAACCTAAATTAGTGTAACTGCTATAAACTTAACCATGTGTAAGTTTTCTGTTTATTCACAAATTTTCGGTTCATAGTGATTAGCTTGTAGTGATTGTTCAGTGAAGGTTGCTAATGGAATTTTATTTTGCTTAGGCTGTATTCTGAGGCATTTTATCTTGTACATTTCCTGCTGCCGTGTATTGGACCCCTTGAAAAAATTGTCTTAACCTTGATGTCAGTTAATGGACTTCTCAGATACACCTTATGAATAAGATTTTCTTATGTAATTGTTTTTTCTTCCATTTATTTACTTGTGTTTGTCTTTTTGAAAGTTTGGAGATACATGTTAGAAGTAATCTAATGTTAGGGAAGTAACTTCTATAATACCATATATATATTTTGTATAACTTGATTTATTCTTCAGTCTCTTATATTGGACTCATGTTACATAAATTTAGCATGACTTATAACCACATGGAGCCTTGGAAAACTTAAAAGATGAGAAATTATAAATGCTTAAAAATTTTGAATGTCATTGAGACTGTACAATACATTTTAGAAATCAAGAGGTGTATATGGTTTCCTTGTGTACTTCTTTTAGAAGATTTAAATCATAAACTGAAACAGATGTTATTTAAAAGACATTTTTGAAAAATCAATTTTATTAAAACAATACATGGGCTGGGTGCTGCGGTTATTGCCTGTAATTCTAGTACTTCAGGAGGCTAAGGAGGATGGTTCTCTGAGTCCAGGAATTTGATACCAGCCTGGGCAAAACTATGAAACCCTTTCTTTCCAAAAAATACAAAAATTATCTGGGCATGGTGGCATGTGCCTGTAGTCTTAGCTACTCAGGAGCCTGAAGTGGGAGGATTGCCTGAGCCCAGGGAAGTTGAGGCTACAGTGAGTTGGGGTCATACCACTGCACTGCAGCCTCAGCAAGAGTGAGACCCTGTTTTAAAAAACGAAAAAATATGTGGTAGTGAGATTTTAAGTTACTATTTCTCCTTTAAATACCCCAGTTGTATAATTTTTAAATCAGAAAACACTGAAAAGAAGCCTAAATTCATATTGTAACTAGTTTTAATAACTTAGATTTAATCTGAGCTGATAGGCATTACCGTAGTTAATGTTGGCAAAGTTTTGAAAATTTTCGCAAGTTAAGTTTAGAAAGGGCAACCATAGATTTGTATTTAATTTTTAATTGCTATTGCTTATTTTGTTGGTTTTGAAAGACTTAGTAAAGTATAAAGGCAATTTAAAAATAATTGGAATTCATTAAGTTGATTCTGAATTCTTAAACGTTACAGTGTTTGGTTTCTTGAACCCTTTTTGGTTTTCTGTAAATTTGTGAATTCGTGAAGTAAAGGAATGATACTGGTGCCAGATATTGTTTAAGACAAATCCCAGACTTGGTATAATTTAATCTATAATTAAATTTAAAAAATGTATTTCAATGTAAATCTTTCAAATATGCGGGAGACGATTTAATATATTCTTTTTTTCTTGTTTAGTAATGCTACAGCCCTTTGACTATGATCCAAATGAAAAAAGTAAACACAAATTTATGGTACAGACAATTTTTGCTCCACCAAACACTTCAGATATGGAAGCTGTGGTAAGTATAGAAGAAGAATTTATTTTGGGGAATGGAGTTTTTAACTGTGGGCTTTGTTTAGCACTCAGTAGAAAAACTTAATTTTTAAAAATTAAAAGTTAAATTTAGATTTTTAAAAAATATGCCAATTTCTTCATTATAGATAATTTTAAGAATGAAAGAATTTTCAAATAGTATTTTTTTTAAGAAACAGTTTAGAAATGCTACTACTGGCTGGGTGCAGTGGCTTTCACCTGTGTAACCCCAGCACTTTGGGAGGCCAAGACAGGAGTCTTTCAATCCCAGGTGTTCGAGACCAGCCCAGGCAACATGACAAGACCCCATCTCTACAAAAAAGCTGGATATAGTGTTGAATGCCTGTAGTCCCAGCTACCTAGGAGGTGTGGGAGGATTGCTTGAACCCAGGAGGGGCCACTGCACTCCAGCCTGGGAGACAGAACAAGACCAACTGGAATAAAAGAAAAAAGAAAGAAATGCTGCTACTAAGAAGGTCCTGTGGTTGCTAGTGATATCGTCGTAATTTTAATGGATGGTGATAGTAACTCTAGGACTATATAGAGGTTCTGTGACATTAGCCGATAACAGTGGCAGGGTGATCAATAAAGAGTGCACCAGTGTATTTCAGCCAAGCCAAGCAGCTACACTCATCATTTAGCTGTCCTGGGTGAAATTTATTTACCATGATCGTACCCTCTGTGCCTCATGTTTGGTTTGTTTATTTTTAGTGGAAAGAGGCAAAACCTGATGAATTAATGGATTCCAAATTGAGATGTGTATTTGAAATGCCGAATGAAAATGATAAATTGGTAAGTAAGAAAATGTAAAAATATTGGAAGCTGTTGAGCTTTCAGTTCCTTTGAAATTCCTTTAATTTTCCTTCTATTTTTGTCCTTTGTGGTGTGTGTGATATGGTTATTTCAGTTGATAAGACTCAGTGCTTATTTAAGTTTTAAAAAACTTGGAAATTTGGTGTGTCTTTTTAAATTTTATAACATTTTGTTTATTTAAGAAGAAAGAAAGACTCACTTTTAGGTCCAGACTGCATCCTGGAGAAGAATCATTTAAGTCTACCAAATTTTTATGACTTAAACCCACTACAAATTCTTCTTTAGAATGAGATGTGTATACTTAATTTAAAAATATATATAAATTGCTTTTTTGGCCACTGTGTACCAGCAGTCTGGGGATAAAAAAATCATTTACATAGACTCTTTATTCCAGGTTTGGCTGTTCCCTGGTATTTTGGTCACTTTTGTTTTTAATGAAATCCATCTGTTGTTGCTGCTTATCATTAGTGTAAATCAAATACAGTTTGGGGACTGAGGGATATATGTGTTTATTTAAAAACAAAACAGTCTTTGAATGTACAGAGTGGGTTATGGTCACTTACCTTGTCCTTTTTCCTGTCTGGATTGCAAATAAGAATTTTTCCTATGCTAAGAGAGACTTGAAAGATAAGTGTTTCTGTGTGTGTGACTTAATATATACAATAATACGGATAAATAGAATTGTTTGGCATGATTTGATTACAGTCTGACATGAATACTGCCTTAATCTGGTAGCCATTTGCCCTTTGAAAAGCAGACATACACATTAAATACGTGGGCTCAGCTACTGTGTTGCTTTTTCAGGATAAGCAGAAATGAAAACGACTCTGATAATTAGGTGTTGACCAAATTATTTTTTGAATTTTAAAAATGGCTCTTTTAAGTGATTTTGGAGTTATTTACCAAAAGCAAAAAAATGCAAATATGTATACTCTCTCTGTAAAGTGAGTGGTAGTTGGCGTGTGTATGCTTTCCATTCGGAGGTTTTCTTAATTTTTTCCTTAGGCTGAGGGAAGCGAATAGCTTGTACAGCTATTACTGTTGAAACCAAGAAAACAAAACAGCACATTGTCTGGACTGACTTTTTAAAAAAAACATTTGGATATTTTCTTACTTACATTTTTATTAATTAGTAAAAAATTTAGTCAATTTAGGTAATTTAGTCAACATAAATCTGTCTTCTGTCTGGGCTTCTACTGTGCTCTAGATAGTATATACTTTGAGATGTGTGAAAAGCATTGGAACCCCAGGTATTTGATACTGCTGATTAAGAGTAGCCTCACTGGTTTGGAAACCTAACCAGAAGTTGATGGAAATGAAATAGCAATGACAGTTGAACCTAGCCATTTACACATCTTGGGTGAGAAGAGCAGTATTGTCTAGTCCATGGTAATCCAAGAAAGTAGTTTTGAGTCTGTTTTAGCACTTGAGCAAATCCTGAATGGAGTCCCCAGAGTCCCCTGCCATGAAATTTGGAGCAGAAGTAGTTTGAGCCTGGAACCTTTTCAGAGCACATATTACTAGTAAGCTAAAAGTTGTTAAGTAACTTCAGAGTACTCTAGATAATATCTGGTTCTGAGCCTTGATTAGCTGTGGAATGTATTTTCACTAACTGGATTATGTGGACTTGTATATTAAATTGTAGGGAATATTGCTAAAAATAATGATTTTTAAAAAGATTTATTTTGAAAAACTTTAAACACCTAGAAGAGTAGATAGGAGGAGTACAATGAACCTCTGAACTTACGAACAGCTTTAACAATGACTAGTTTGTGATTAAGCTTATTACATATAAATCATATTACTTCCCATCTTAGGTATTGTTTAAGGCAAATCCCAGACTTGGTGTAATTTAATTTGTAAATGTTTCAATGTATATCTTTCAAAGTACTTTAAAAAAAGAGATAAAAAAGTTTTAATGACAATACTATTATTATGCCTTTACAAATTTAGGGTATCCTTCATATCAAGCTATCCAGGCAGCATTAAAACTAGTCAGAAATGTCTTTAAAAGTTTTTTTCCTGCAATTTGTTTGGATTAGATGAAAATAAAGTCCAAATACTACTACTACTTTTTTTTGCTGTGTTGCCCAGGCTGGAGTGCAGTGGCATGATCTCAGCTCACTGCAACCTCCACCTCCTGGGTTCAAGTGATTCTCTTGCCTCAGCCTCCCTAGTAGCTAGGATTACAGGCGAACGTCACCATGCCTGGCTAATTTTGTAATTTTTGTAGAGATACGAGTTTTGCCAGGCTGGTCTCGAACTCCTGACCTCAGGTGATCCACCTGCTTCAGCCTCCCAAAGTGCTAGGATTACAGGTGTGAGCCACTGCCCCTGGCTGAGTCCAAATACTTCTATTGGATGATATGTTTCTTAAATCTTTTAGTTTGTTGTATTTTCTCTTTCTTTCTCTCTCTTTGCAAATTATTGGATGTTTTTATTATTAAAGTAGCTTTGCCTATAGACTTTCCCACAGACTTGATTTTGCTGATTCCATCCTTGTGGTGTCATTTAACCTTTTTTCTCTGTCCCTAGTATTTCCTATGATTGAAAGTTCAAAATGAGTGGTTCTCATCCAGGGGCAGTCAATTTGTTCCTCTAGGGACCATGTCTGGAGACATTTTTGGTTTTCACAACTGAGGGGTCAGTAAGGGTGCTACAGGTATCTGTTTAGTGGGCAGAGGCCAGAGATGCCTCTCAGCTTCCTATGATGCGCAGAACAGCCCCCACAACAAAGAATAATCTGGCTCAAAATGTCAGTAAAGTTGAGGTTGAGACAGTATGGCCTAGGTCTGTTAATTCATTTAAGATTGATGGTGATACTCTGTCATTCCTACTTCATACACTACTTTAGAATACTTCTGTGAAGAGAAACTTGTGCTTATGTAGTACTTGGTTATTTAGTGGTAGAGTTTAAAAAGGCGCAGAACAAATGCCCATGTTTCTCTTCAGTTAAAGGTTTTAAAAAATGAGTTTGTTTATATAAGCATCCCTCCTGTGATGTACAGTTGATCTTCCTCCTTCCGTCCTTTCATTCTTCCCTCTGTACTTGTATATTATTAAAACTCATGAATTTAAACATATTTGAGTTTTAACTCCGTGCAGTTAATTACCATTATTGGTGCTCAAATTGCCTCGTAATGAGACTTTTCAAATTGATTTCTTCAGTTTTTTGACCCTCACAGTCTTTGGTAATTTTCTTGTCTAATGTGGCAAGATTTTTCCAGGTCCAGATCTAGAAAAAGTTTTTCAAGAAGCTCGGGGCCGTTTTAGTGGAAGATGGTGTTTCAAGACTGCAGTCGGTCGGGACCCTGTGACAAAATTGATTTTTAATTTTATCAAACTTTCTGTTCATTCTTTTGGCCAAGATAAGAGTGGAGGCCTGTTTTTCATCTGAAGGCACTTCTTCAAATGGTAAAATTTTAATGATAAAACTGTGTCAACAGCATATAGGATGATGTAGATCCTTTTATTTTTTTGGAGTAATGATTTCATTTTATGGTTGGATTATGTTGGGTAATTCAAAATGTGCAAAATCCAATACTGATTCCTGAGAAGAATAGGCAGGTACTTCTGTGAACCAGCTGAAGTGGTGTTTCAATATAGCAGTACGTAAACATAACTTACGGCTTTCATGGCTCACTGGCCTTGCCATTAGGATTTTTGATGGATGTTTTTGAGTGTTTATAATTTACATTTCAAGTTTTGCACATAAAATGAGACTGAAAGATTGTAATATATCACCATTTCAAATTTACCTAATTCAAATGTGCAAACATTTTGTCTGTAGTGTTCAGGCTAGAAGTGTCCCTAATTGATTAATGTGTATGTTGAAGAGAGACTAAAACACAATTGTCCAGTGTATTAGGCTGGAAGCGTTCTGTAGTCAAGTGAGTTTGGAAAAGTACTGCAAATGTCTCCAAAAGGAATCACGTTGTGTATTTGCCTATTAAAGGCTTAATGGTAAAAGAAAACTTAGTGGTAAAGAAATATATTTAACCCAATATTTATTTTTTAAATATAACCTAATTAACTTATGAAATATCTGATATTCTGAAAAAAATATACTTTGGGAAATACTTTTCCTGCTTAAACTCACTCTTACAGTATTATTAACCACATTTTACAAGAAATGTTACTTGCTGAGAAATGTGTTTAAACTCAGTGCAACCTGGCACAGACCCAGTTCTGTCTAGGTTTTTAGTTGATTATGTGACTTTCAAGTTGTGAGTTTAATGTTGCATCTCACCTTTTATAGAAAATATGAAATCTCAGGGTACCAAATCTGAAGTCTTTACGATAGGACAAAATATAAAATAAGTTTTTGTTTCTAACAACTAAGGATAAAACCTTTTATATCTAAAGATAACAGAATACGTCTTAGTATTTCATTCATGTGGTAATAAGACCCTATTGATAATTGTATCCTGCTGTTTCTGGGTATTTTCTATAGATGAAGTTGATAAAACTTGCTGAAAAAAATCATAGTATCTTTGACATGTTGGTTTCTTTCTAGTATCTGTAGATAAAATTAGTAGTTAGTATCCCTGTTAGTATTTCTCTGTTTAGTTTAGCATGAAATTTGTCTCTTCAGAAGTTGGGATGTTACTGGATAGTGTGATGGATAGATAAACATTTTGTTAATTTACTTCAGATGAATTGATAAAATGCTGTATGATGCTGAATCCTGACTTACACAATTGCTGAAATACATTTCTAAATGTGCGAGATTAACAGAAATGTGTTGCATACCATGTTGGTGATGTGTATTTTTACAAATATAGAGTGGAAAATATACTTTTTATCTTATGATTTTAATATAGAGAATTCCCTGAGATCTTTTGGCCCTTTATTCTTTTTATTAGTATGTTGTAAAAAGTATGTTAACTTAAGCAAAATCGGTTTAGTTTTTAACTGAGTTTCTGGTAACAACTTAGGATTTAACATAGAAGAACTCTCTGGATGGCATTTGTATTTCCTTTTCAGCTTTATTTAGTGTTTAGAGTAGTGGAAAAGTTCATAGTGGTTCCTTACACATTTATTTTTTGTTTCAATATATACATACATTATTAAATGATCACCACAATCAAGCTAATTAACATACCTATCACCTCAGATTAGCACCATTTTATGGGTCACATTTACTTGAAAGAGTTGATCATCAAAATTTCATTTTTGGTAATCAACTTAGAAAAATTTGGTTAATATTCACAGCAGACTGCAGTAGCTATCAAAATCGTTGATGCACTCTCCTTAAATATTGTAGAGATAGCAAGTCTTAAACTTTGTAATTTTTCTGTGTATGTTTCTTAACCCCACTCCCTCACTTCCCCACCCCCACTTCCAGTATCCCTTTGCAAAAAGAAGTACACTGGTATTTAAGTACTGTACTAGTTTGTTCTTACATTGCTATAAAGAAGTACCTGAGACTGGATTGTTTATACAGAAAAGAGGTTTAATAGGCTCACAGTTCTGCAGGCTGTACAGGAAGGGTGGCAGCTTCTGCTTCTGAGGAGTCTTCAGGAAACCTCCAATAATGGTGGAGGGCAAAGGGGGAGCAGATGTCTCACGTGGCAGGAACAAGAGCAAGTGAGAGCAAAGGGGCAGTTCCACACGCTTTTTAACAACCAGATCTCATGAGAACTATCATGAGAACAGTACCACGGGATGATGCTAAACCATTCATGAAGGATCCACCCCCGTGATCCAATCACTTCCCAACAGGCCCCACTTCCAACAATGGAGATGACAGTTTGACAAGAGATTTGCTGGGGACACAGATCCAAACCATATCAAATACGTTGTATAAGTATACTCCACCTGTTTGAGGATTTTGATCTTTTTACAGATGCGATTAATTCTTAGGTGTTTACGTGTTCTGAACACAGTGAAAAAAAATGTGGTGTTATTTTGTTGATTTCTTTAAACTTTTTAGGACCTTGATTACTGAATATATAAGTAAGGAAGTGATTGAAGTTTTGTGGTCACCTTATAGGGTAAAAAATGGAGCCAGCTTCAGAAGTACAGTGGTTGAGTCCATGTTATTTTTATAGTTTAAATCATTTATTTGTGACAAAACAATTCTCATTTATTTGAACCATCACTAAAGTGTGGGCTACTTTTTGGGAAATAGCTCTCTGATTTGGATCGTAGATAAGGTGCCCCAGGAAACTTAGGAACCCTTTTATTTTAGAACAAAGGACTCTTAATATTTTTTTCCTGCATAACAAGCATAAACAGATACCCTCCCTTAAGCACACTCTAAGATGTGTAGTTACTGTAGTCCTAGGGAACAGCAGGTGTGTGCCAGTACATTTCATTTCATTAATGGCCCCTACTGTCTTCACTTGAGTTGTTGTCAGTGCTAGTACTGAAAGCCATTCAGCATGTTCCCTGTATTGTTGACAGCTGGAGGCACATGATACTAAAGTACTGACTATTGTAAAAAATAGGGTTCTTTGACTTATTAGCTCTGTTTGGAAATTGACAACTCTGTATTATTAAATACCTAATGTCCAACTAGTGGTAGTGGTTGTTTTTTAAGGAGTGAATGTGGTTTGTTATTTTTGAAGTTTTATGATCTATTCAGTTGTGTTCAATTCTAAAGAAATTTTGAGATATTTTCTAAATTTCTTAACTCTGACATTTTCTAAATTTCTTAAATGTATTGCATTTCATTTATGTCCTCCATATGACATTTGATGGTGACATATTTTCTAGGAAAAAAATGCCAGTTTTTTTTTAATGAAGACTGAAGGAACTGTAAAGAACAGGGATTTCAGGGGTCTTACTACTATAAAGACATTTTATGGTTGAATATACTTTATTTTCTGTTGAGACAGAACAAATGGGATATGAGTAAGTATAATTAGGGAAATCTCTTTCCCACCGGTTTGTAGAATACAGTATTACTTTTACCTATTAAAGGCATTTGAGAAGAAAAGAAGAGAACTATGGAGTTAGTGGTTGTGTGAATCTTTAAGTGTGTTTGTTGGCCTGGGACGTGTGTGAGAGAGTGTTTGTATTGGGGATAGGCTTTAAATACAAGAGAGGTTTATTAAAAAATGTTCAGATTGAGTGTTATCAAAGGTAAGAAGACATGAAAGTGCTTATTTTTCAGATCATTGACAATTACTAATTAGAAAAAAACATGAAGAGTCACAAAGGATTAGATGGTATTCATTTTAAAACAACATAAAGCTGGCATAAATTTTAATAAAATATGTACCTTTAATAAGTCTACATAATGCAATAGATTAAAACTGATTTTGTTTGGGAAATATATAAAAAGCGAGTTCAGAAACTTTGTACTTTTTGCCTTAACATAGCTATTACTTGCTAGTATTGTTTCTTATGCATTAATGCATTTTTAAAGAGTAAAGTGTTAATGTTTTAGAACCTAATGCTTTCTGTGTCAGTCATTCCCAATATGCAGAAGAAATCAGAGTTCGGTGAGAATCTGAGAATATGTTTCCCATGCCATCTCAGGGTGTAACTCCACCAGGGACTGCTCCGACTGTCACTTCAATGAGCAGCATCAACAACAACACAGTTGCCACACCTGCCAGTTATCACACGAAGGATGACCCCAGGGGACTCAGTGTGTTCAAACAGGAGAAACAGAAGGTTTGTTATAGGGAGCTAACAGACTTAGGAGTCTACTAGTAATAATGATTAAGTTAATGTAGATATCTAGCTGATAAGAGGTATTGTGAGTGTGTTATATGAAGTAGAGGGAATTGAACTATGCCTGAAATTAACAGTGAAACTACAAAGCACTTAAAAATCATGCACACAAACTATTCTGTTCTAAAAAACTTCTGAACTTACTAAAATCTCAATAGTGAGCAGGACAATATAAATGTAAACATTATGAAGTTGGTGTAATTTTTTTCTTTGAGATTTGGGGAGCATATTCTTTTTTTCTTTTGAGATGGAGTCTTTCTCTGTCACCCAGGCCGGAGTGCATGGCACAGTTTTGGCTCACTGCAACCTCTTGTCTTCTTGGTTCAAGCGATTCTCCCACCTCAGCTTCTTGAGTAGCTGGGATTACAGGGATTTGCCACCATGCCTGGCTAATCTTTTTTTTTTTTGGTAGAGATGGGGTTTCACCATGTTGGTCAGGCTGGTCTCAAATTCCTGACCTTAGGTGATCCACCTGCCTCGGTCCCTCAAATTGTGGGATTACAGGCATGAGCCACCACACACAGCCAGCCCCACCGTTTTAACAGATTGTTTATACCTTGATTTGGTTTTGCAGATGATATGCATACGAAGGCTTTAAAAAAATTATCCTTTATCTAAACGTTTAATACTTTTTTGTTTTTGTGATTTGGGAATTATTTACTTTTGGGAATCATGATCCTAGAGAAACGGTAAATTAGTTGTTAAGAGTGGGGAAAAAAATTTTCAGGTGGCCTTGTTCTTGTTATTTACATCCTGTCTCTTAATTCATACGTTAAGACCTTAATTCTGCCTCTGATAGTTTATGACAGTACTCTTGACTTTAGCCTCTTAACTTCTTTAGTCCATTTTTATCCATCTCTCCTGTTGTTAAGAATGTAGCCTCACATTTATGTCCTTTATCTCCTTTGTTCTTCCCATGGCCTCTTTGCAAACTTTTCCATATATTTCCAATTCCTAGTTTCCTCTTTTTCTGTTTAACCGCCAGTAGGAATACTTGGAATATTAGAACTGAAATTCTGATGGTTAAGAAAGAATACACAAGTATGGTTATGCATCTCTTAAGGATCTATATTGAGAAATGTGTATGGTGATTTAGTTGTGTGAACATCATTGAATGTACTTACACAAATCTATATATGATATAGCCTGTTGCTCCTAGGCTACAGACTTGTATAGCATGTGGCTATACTACAATCCTAAGTATTCTTCCAGCTAAACAATCTACACCAAGCTTGTTCAGCCTGCAGCCTGATGCCCGCATGTGGCCCAGGATGGCTTTCAATCCAGCCCAACACAAATTTGTAAACTTTCTTAAAAATATTTTGAGTTTTTTTTTTTAAATAGCTCATTAGCTCTTGTTAGTGCTAGTGTGTTTTGTGTGTGGCCCAAGACAATTCTTCCAGTGAGGCCCAGGGAAGCCAGAAGATTGGACACCCATGACTACACACAGAAAAGTTGCAGCAAAAAGATGGCAGAAGAGATAAAAACCTACATGCCTGTATAGGGCACGTAGTATGAATGGATTTTCTAGAACTGGAAGTTGTCCTGGGTGGGTCAGCGAATGAGTGGTGAGTGAATGGGAAGACCTAGTACACTTAGGTTGTGTTTATTAAAATTGTTTTCTTTAATTTTAGCTTTCCGTAACTACTTCATAAACTCTAAAATTAAAATTTTGACTTATAATTTAAAGCATAAGCACAGTGTATACATAGATTAAAATATCTTTTTTATGTCCTTACTAGCTTTCTTTTTTTAAAATGAGATTATTTTCAAAAACTTTGTATGTTAAAACCAAGACACAAGCACACATATTAGCCTGTACACAGGGGCGGATTCATCAGTATCACTGTCTTCCACCTCTACATCCTGTCTCATTGGAAAGTCTTCAGGGGCAGTTAGGCGCATGGAGCTGTCATCTCCTATAACAGTGCCTTCTAGAATACTTCCTGAAGGACCTATTAGAGTCCAACTTAGAGTTAACTTTTTGTTTTCATAAGTAGAAGAAATATACTCTAAAATGCATAATAAAAAGCATAGCAAATACATAAACCTGTAATGTAGTTTATTACCAAATATTCTGTATTGTACAAAAATCGTATGTGTACGATTTATAACTGGAGTACAGTATGTATATTTACACCGGCATAACCACAAACGTGAATAATGTATTGTGCTGTAACCTCACTAGGTAATAGGATTTTTTCAGTGCCATTATAATTGTGTGGGAACACTATCATATGTTTGGATCATTGTTGACCAAAACGTTGTTATGTGGTGCATGACTGGACAACTCATAGATGGAGGGTTTACTGGAGGTAGGCTAAATAATGTAGTGGAAAATGGACCAGATTGGTGTATTGTTTTATTTTAGTTGATACACACTTTGACTTTCCAGCTTATTCTAAATTGCATATTAAATATAATGTTACTAGTCGTCAGTTAACTAACAGTCACAGCATGTTTGAATCCCTCTAGTTTGCTTGTTTTATGGTTCTCAGAACAGCCAGTATTCTCTTTCTGGACCAGTTTGAAGCAACTCTCAAGAAATAAGCTGTTTTATTGGAGCCAGACCTCACTAATGGAGGTCCTGAATGGAAGCATATACTTAAAGTCACACTGCTTTTTTTAATCAGGCTCTTCAGATTGTCACTCCATGATGACTCAAAGCCCACCCTCCCATCACCCACTCCACCCTCTTTTAAACCCCCAACAAGGATTAATATGCTATTATACTTTATGTAAATAAATTAGATTTTCTTGCACATGTTATGTTTGTTACTGGTTTGTAAGGGGCCTAGGTAGTACATGATATAACTTACTGGGTACACTTTCCAAGTATGTTTCGGCTTCACTATATTTGCATTCTAGTGTCTTTATGCTCCACAAGTTGGTTATTATTTCTTCTCCTTTTTGTTACAAAAATAGTATAACATTATTAAGAGAAATTCAATGAAAAAGAAAAGTTTAATTATATTTAATTAGATAAATTTTATTTTCAAGTCTATTAGAATTTGAAAAATCTAAATCTAATTCCAGTCTACTTATCTTTTTATAGAGTATCTTCTTATGGACATGTTATTTAAAATTCGAAAGAATGGAAGGCTGCCCATCAAATGCTTAACCAAAGTGAAATGTTTAACTTTGGCAAGGCATAGAATAGAATATTTAATGACATGCCATTTAAAATTATTAAAAATTTACATATAAAGGAACAAGTAAATATGTATGCCAGTTTTATAAAATGTATGTCAAAAAATAATAGTAATGTGAATAATAGTTTGTTGATTTAATGAGAGTATGGGAAATGACTTCTTCCCTTCCCTTCATAATTTTATGCAATTTAAAGAATTTAAAAATAAAAATCCAGTTGTCAAGAGCTTGACAATTCCTCGTTTTAGTTTTTTTCTCTTTGCCGTTGACCCCTTGTATATCTTTTTTCCCCCCCAAAGACAGGGTCTCACTCTGTCACCTGGGCTGGAGGGCAGTGGCACGATTTCGTCTCATTGCAGCCTATACCTCCTGGGCCCAAGTGATCAATCCTCCCATCTCAGCCTTATGAGTAGCCAAGATTACAGGTGCACACCACCAGGCCTGGCTACTTTTTAAAATTGTTATTTGTAGAGACAGGGTCTCCCTCTGTTGCCCAGGCTGTTCTTGAACTCCTGGGCTTATACAGCTATCCATGTTGGCCTCCCAAAGTGTTCGGATTACAGGAATGAGACATGGTGCCCTGCTTCATCCTCTTAAGTTTTTTGTCAGTTTTCTGGTATGGGTATGAGACTTCTTTCCAATTCTTGACCAAAACCTACAAGTTCTTCAGTTGCTATATTGGTGCGTATTGCCACCTCCTTTACAGAGGAAAGGCAGTTTGCCACCTGATCATTATCAAAAGTTGGATTTGTGCTAGGATAGAATTTGACCACACTGAAAATCATTTTGAAATGAATTCTTGCTATTAAGGAAAAGAATAGGAAAAGGTATTGGCAGAGTAATATATATCTGAAACAGTGTTTTAATAATAGAGGAGCAAGAGAAAGTCTCAGAGAAAGAATTGAAATAGGCTTCTTTAAAAACCTTTCTTAACTGGGAGGTCTGAAGAAAAATGGAAGAATCTGCCAACAGGTCAAATACATATTATTGTTCATTAGAACTTCATTATAATTTTTTTTTTTTTTTTTAAGCAATGGAGTCTCACTCTGTTGCTTAGGCTGGAGTGCAGTGGTGTGATCTTGGCTCACAGCAACCTCTGCCTCCCAGGTTCAAGCGATTCTCCTGCCTCAGTTTCCTGAGTAGCTGGGATGACAGGCACACGCTACCATGCTCAGCTAATTTTTGTATTTCTAATAGAAACAGGGTTTCTTCTTGTTGGTCAGGCTGGTGTCAAAGTCCTGACATCAGGTGATTCATACACATTGGCCTCCCAAAGTGCTGGGATTACAGGAATGAGCTATCGCACCTGTTGAACCTCATTATAAATTTTCATTTTAAAATAGATTAATTTTTATGTGGATTTAGGCATACTAATCAAATCACTTCCCCTTCATAAGAAAAGTTTTGCCTTTTGAACAAACACACTGTTTATACTTAATATAAATTTGGCATCTGGGATGGTGTGGTACGTGTACAGCCTCTGATAAATCTTAAAAAATGAGTATTGTGGAATGCCAGAAAGTTGATTTTGTAAATGTCTTCGTTAGCAGTTTATAGTTGAATAAAGCAGATTTTTATCTACAGTTATTTTAAAGCAAGTAAAAATTTAATTAAAATGAAAAAAGCTTGTTACAGTAATACTGCTCTGAAGTGTGGTGTTAAGAGTGAAGGATGTCGGGGTACTTTAGACCACAGGCTGAAAAATACTTAGGTACTGTCATGGATGTTTATCTCCAGGCCTTCAACACTAGCTTCAAATGGTTCATTGTTGATGAGAATTAAGATTTTGGGACTCATAGTCTTGAAAACATGCTCAGTGCTACTGTGATGTTGAATCACATGAATTATAGCAAACTGCATTACCGAAGATGTGAAATTTATATGTTAAGCTTTCTTTGCATGTTTTTTCTTAGGTAGTTTCTGATTTTATTGGAATGATTACGATAATATCATCCCCCTACCCCACAGAACCTCATTTGAATTGCAGAACCAGAGCATGAAAAATGACCTTCATATTTGGATTTTGTCGACATCAGTCATTCAGCATACTGTTGTTGAATAACTACTTTTTACCAAAGTGCTGAGTTTAGGGGTAAATACAAAGAGAGATGGCTCTTGCTCTCCCAGCCTTTGAAGTATTATAGGAAAGAACTTCAACAGTAATTATTAAGATACATAATAAAGTGCTATTGTAGAGGTATGTTCCAAGGATTATGGGAGTGGAGGGAGTGGGCTCCTTATTTAGACTCATCTGACTGCTGACATGTACTGATTTAGGTCTTTTAAAGAGTATTTCAGAAACAAAGATGTAGAGTTTATGTTTTTATTTGTTTAAAACCTGTAAGATTTGGTTAGTTAAAAAATTCCCAATATCTTTGTAATACAGAATGACATGGAACCTAGCAAAGCTGTTCCACTGAATGCGTCTAAACAAGATGGACCTATGCCAAAACCACACAGTGTTTCACTTAATGATACTGAAACAAGGAAACTAATGGAAGAGTGTAAAAGACTTCAGGGAGAAATGATGAAGCTATCAGAAGAAAATCGACACCTGAGAGTAAGTTCTGTTGGTTGAAAATAAGTTGATTGAAATCTGAAGGTATAGGACATGTGAGTGTTATTAGGCCATTTTAGCAATTAGTTTTTAAATTTATCCTTTAAATTTTAAATTTACCAAGGATAAATTCATATATTTGATTGAATAAATGGATGGTGGAGGAGGACTGATTGAGGCCCCAGTTTGATTATGTCCTGGCCTTTGCTCCCTACCCTACTACTCCTCTTTTTACCGGTCTTCCTGTGTTTTCTCATTGCTGCAAATTCCTTACCTTAGCACACATTCTAATTGTTTGTGATCTGGCCTGTGGCATTGCCATCTTCCACTCTTGTTTATCCTGTTCTTCCCATTTTGTGTGCCAGTCATACTGAACTGCCTAGGATTGTGTTTTCCCACATCATAGCCATGAGTCACTTAGGGCTGGTGAGCATTTGAAATGGAATTTGTTCAAATTGAGCTATGCGGTGAGTGTAAAATAACTGATGTTGAAGAGTTAGTACAGAAAAAGGTAAAATCTTTTTATCGTTATATATTGAAGTAGTAGTTTGGGTATATTGGGTTGAATAAAATATAAAATTAATTTTACCCATTTCTTTTTACTTTTAAATGTACTTTTGGGAAAATTTAACATTACATATGCAGCTCACATTTGAAGCTCACGTTATGTTTGAATGGGGCAGCATTGGGCTAGAGTATGCTGGAGAAGAAGCTGTTTAATACTCCTCTTTTGTTTTAGTGTAAGCTCTGCACAGTGACTCGAATGGCCTGGAATCCTCTCCCTCCCGACACAGGACATACACACACTGATGTTTTGCTACTAAGTTGTTGTCATCTTTTCAGTATAGCCTTTGGTAGGACCCTCTCTCAAAAAGAAAAAAAAAATCCATTTGGCGTGTCTGCTTTGTGTCTCCACAAAGCAGACAGAATGAAGAATGAAGAAGATTTCATTCTTCTCTTACTCGTTAGAGCCCTTTCTCCCTCTAGTGGGCAGTAATTTCCTTGGGGGCAAGGGCTGTGTTTAATTTATCTCTGCATTTACAGTACATGCATGTAGTAGTCATTCATATATTTGATTGAATAAATGGATGGTGGAGGAGGACTGATTTGAGTATGTCTGAACTTTATGAATAATTTTTGTCTTTGACAAGTAATTATTTGTTTCAAGACCAGAAAACCTATACATTGCTCTTTAGGCTTTGAAGCTCTTTGCAGCAAAGTAGATGATAGAAAAATGTATGTAACTAAAATAAGTTAAATGATAGAAGTTATTTGATTATTCTTTTTGGTAGCTGTATATAGGAACTGCACTCTGAATTAAAGTCACTGTATTTTAAGTTGATCTGTGAACTTCTCTTTGCTAAAATGCTTTTTAAAGTGAGTATTTGTGTCTCTTCATATTTAATATTTCATAGTACTCCCTCGAGGGTTATCCCTCTGCTTCCAAGCACCTGTCTGGATAGTAGAAAGAATATCTTTATTTCACACCTACACACCATGGATCTTTCAAAGGATTTTGTTACTTTTACTTTATCTGCCATGACTTCTATAGTTCTGTTCTTTGATAAAGATGTGCTCATTAGGGTGCTCAATAGATTTCTTTCAGAAGCCACTTACCTCTGCCAGGGAGGGGAGAAGTGGAAACAATAGGAATGACACAGGTGGGGCAGGGCTGAAAAATAGGAAGATTGAACAGGAAGTAGGTGAGAGAATTTATTCCTGGTTCCTACTTTTTTTTTTTTTTGAGACGGAGTTTCACGCTTGTTACCCAGGCTGGAGTGCAATGGCGTGATCTCGGCTCACGGCAACCTCCGCCTCCTGGGTTCAGGCAATTCTCCTGCCTCAGCCTCCTGATTAGCTGGGATTACAGGCATGCGCCACCATGCCCAGCTAATTTTTTGTATATTGTTTTTTAGTAGAGACGAGGTTTCACCATGTTGACCAGGATGGTCTTCATCTCTTGACCTTGTGATCCACCCGCCTCGGCCTCCCAAAGTGCTGGGATTACAGGCTTGAGCCACTGCTCCCGGCCCTGGTTCCTACTTTTTATATGCTGATGTTCTGTATGAGATTTTGAGAGATGATTGTGATGTTGGAAAAATAAGACATAAAAACCTTTTGAGTGGTGGCCCATGCCTGTAATCCTAGCACTTTGGGAGGCTAAGCTGAGTGGATCACCTAAGATCAGGAGTTCGAGATCAGCCTGGCCAATGTGGTGAAAGCCTGTCTCTACTAAAAATATAAAAATTAGCTGGGCATGGCGGTGGGCACCTATAATCCCAGATTCTCAGGAGGCTGAGGCAGGAGAATCACTTGAACTTGGGAGGTTGCACGTGAGCCAAGATCATGCCATTGCACTCCAGCCTGGGTGATAAGAGTGAAACTTCGTTGCAAAAACAAACACACACACTTTGAAAACCCACTGGCTTCAATAATTTATTTCAGACTCTTTAGTATTTTATTCATAGACCCATCATAATTTTTTGCCAGGTTAAGTTTTTTGCTTCTGCCTGTTCACTGTTCTTTTTAATTCCTCTAGTCCTGTGGTTTTTTTTTTTTTAAACTTTTGTCTTTATCAGCATGAAAAACCCTGTGGTTTGTAATTCATACTGCATGTGAATCACCCAGTGAGCTTTAAAAAAATTCAGTTTACCAGGCCCTCCTCAGACCTAGTGAATCAGAATCACAGGAGTATTAAAAGTTCTGCAGATGTTACTGAAGGGTAGCTGAAACTGAGAGTTACTGCTGTTTTTACACAGGACCCAAAAAACCCAACTCCAGAAAATTCAGTAATGCAAATAAAACTCTTTTAGTTAGTGTTTATTTATAAGCACAATGAAGGAATCCTGGGAGAACATTTTGCCTTGCACTGAAAAAAGTAAAAATCAGTCCTGCCATTCATCAGATTGGATAAGAGACACAGATAAAGCCAGCTGCATAGTTAACAGGTATTAGTATTTTCCCCAAGTTTCATACTGCACACAGTGTCATAACAACTTCCTGCCTTAAGTGACTTCTGCTTTCTTCTCAGAAACCTTGTCCTCTAAAGACGGTGCTATGTGAAGCCATAGCAGTAAGAAAGAAGCAACCCATTCTTACCTGGAGGCTCTAGGTCATTTTGACACAGAGAAGCACCCTCAGTTTCCAGTCCAGGTGCAGAGCTTCAGATAAGGGGGCTCCTATATACATTTCTCATCTAAATTTATGGTTTCTGAAGAAATAGTATTCTTTGCCTGCTTTGCAATCCAGACCTGGTGCTACTGCTTTACACACAGCCGTTTGCTTTGCTTTGAGCATATGAAAACACTGTTACTTAAATTTCATACTAAGCTGTTTTCTTCCCCCAAATTCTGGGATCCCCGTATCTCTGTTTTGTGCTTCTGCTGTTCCGGTTCCTCAGTTGCAGTAGGCCAGTAAACACAACTGGCAAACTACAGGTTTGGTAGTTTTCACTGGGCTGGGACAGATGCAACTGATTTTAAATACCGTGGGCCACCTTGGAAGTAAGTGTACAGAACTCTTCTTTAATTGTGTTTTTAGTGGGATTAAAAAAAATGTAAATATAACTATATCTGACTTTTGTATTTTAGGAATACATTTCTCAGCTCCAGTTTAAAAACATCAAGTGTTATTGAGGTATAATTTACATCCCATAGAGACACCCATTGTGAATATACAATTCACTGATGTATAGAATTTTGCAGCCATCACTATAGTTCAGTTTTAGAATGTGTCCATCAGTCCCAGAAACTTTCCTTTTGTGGTTAGCAGTTAATTCCTGTTTCCGTCCCCCGCCATGGGCAACCACTAATCTACTTTCCATCCCTGTAGATTTTTAGCTTCAGTAGTCTTGTTAGTACGCTTGTTTTTAAAAACCTCTTGTGTATGTGTGTTTTTTTCTAGGATGAAGGTTTAAGGCTCAGAAAGGTAGCACATTCGGATAAACCTGGATCAACCTCAACTGCATCCTTCAGAGATAATGTCACCAGTCCTCTTCCATCACTTCTTGTTGTAATTGCAGCCATTTTCATTGGATTCTTTCTAGGGAAATTCATCTTGTAGAGTGAAGCATGCAGAGTGCTATTTCTTTTTTTTTTCTCTTGACCAGAAAAAGATTTGTTTACCTACCATTTCATTGGTAGTATGGCCCGCGGTGACCATTTTTTTGTGTGTACAGCGTCATATAGGCTTTGCCTTTAATGATCTCTTACGGTTAGAAAACACAATAAAAACAAACTGTTCGGCTACTGGACAAATTGTATATTACCAGATCATCACTAGCAGATGTCAGTTGCACATTCAGTCCTTTATGAAATTCATAAATAAAGAATTGTTCTTTCTTTGTGGTTTTAATAAGAGTTCAAGAATTGTTCAGAGTCTTGTAAATGTTATTTTAATAATCCCTTTAAATTTTATCTGTTGCTGTTACCTCTTGAAATATGATTTATTTAGATTGCTAATCCCACTCATTCAGGAAATGCCAAGAGGTATTCCGTGGGGAAATGGTGCCTCTTACAGTGTAAATTTTTTCCTCCTTTACCTTTGCTAATATCATGGCAGAATTTTTCTTATCCCTTGTGAGGCAGTTGTTGACTGAGTTTTTCATCCTTACAATCCTGTCCCATGGTATTTAACATAAAAAAATAATAAAACTGTTAACAGATTCTTGCTTCATAGCTTGTTTGTGTCTGTCGTGTTATTAGAGGGGAGTCCACTATATACGGTCACTTGAAATTATGATGCAAAGGTTTCTCTTGCATTGAAACCCTCTCAGATATTACAGTATTTTTAATTGAAAGCCCTAATTCTGTTAAGGAAAGGAGTTGATTAAATTTCAAGGTACTACTAGTATTTTGGGAGATTACAGTTAATTTGTTTTCAAGATAATAGAAAATAAGGTCCATGAGAATAGAAGTTACGTGATTTCAGTGAGTTGATGTGTTCAGCATGGCTGTGCTCCATCTGATTTGCCCCATTCATAACAAGTTCTGAGAGTATGTTCTCAAGATTTAACTCTCCTTGGTTTTAAAATACGTTTTAACCAGTCTAATAAGTCTTATTTGTAACATTTCATAATAATAATTAAAAGGTGTTTTTTCCCACCCAGTTTGGCACTCAAAGTAAGGTTCATTATGGAAGTTTGGTAATACTGAGCAAGCCTATGGAATTTTCTTTATGAAAAATGATTTTATCCTTTGCAAATGTTAACCATGTGAAACACATTTTCAGTGTAAGTATGCATTACAGGGTCTGATACTTTCCTGCACTTAGTCTCATGTCTTCATTTTATTGATACTAGGATAGAAAGTTTTGGAATCATAAAATAGATTCAGATTTTAGCTGCACACAGTCTAGTACAGGTGAATTTTTATTCTTAAACATATGCGTTGGTTATTTTTTAAAGAGTTGCGCTCTACCTGAAAAGAAAATTGGATTTTAGAACTGGATGTGGTGCAGTGAAGTATTTTAGGCCCAGGTCTGTGTACACATTTTATAGAAGAGTGAAGTCTTCTGAAAAGTTTTGGTTGCCTTTTCATTTCAACTGTATTTTGAATTTGTCAGATCACATATATTGTATTACTGTGCTCTGTGGTATTGTTTATAAAACCTCTTGCCTGTGTGCAAAAGTTGCTAAAAAGAAACACAAGTAATGCCTCTCCATTACTAGCATGCTGTGCTTCAGGGAATATTTCCACTGCTGTGTGCTTTAGTGTCTGTAAAAATCCCCTGTTCCCTTTTCTGGTAACTGGAAAAGCATGCTAAAAATCGTCTTATATTTTCACGCCATAAATGCAGAATGAGTAATTCCTTGGCTTAAAGCTGTTACATAGTCAGTATTATTGGTGATAAGTGTCAAGCTTGGTATTTATCATAACTATCTTTTTAAAAAGAAATTAAGTTCTTGAAAATTTAGCCAAATCCCGTTTTATGGGAATACTCCTTAGAATTCATTTTGTTCAGCCCCTTTGTTTTGTAGTTGAGAAATCTGAGGCCTTACGAAAGTTAAGAGAACTTGCCCTGTGTCTCACAGGTAGAGGCAGAGCTGGAACTAGAAATCTGGCCTGTGGGCTCTAACTCAGTGACTTTTCTGGTAACTAGAAAAAAATGGTCATAATTTGAGAGATGGCTGAATTAATGAATATAAGATGCTGTTTATAATAAGCATATGTGAAGTTTCCTATCGTTAAGACTACCGGCCTACTGTTGAGTACAGTTTGGTTATAGTGTTTAGGCTAGACATGCCTCTCACATTGTTAATAAAGTTTATAAACATTACAAAATACAATGTATTTTTAGGTAGGCATTTTATAAAATGCATTATGCCATGGTTGGTTTTGAGATAGATTGTAGTCTGGGTAGCATCTGTATGTGGGCTTAACTGTTCTTCATAACAGGAGATGCTCTGATTGTATAGGTGAGACTCTGTTTCTGTTATTTTTAATCGCTTTATGAAATGTAATCAGATTATTTTATTACCAACAGTTACAGTTTGAAAGTCCAACTGTATTTATTGACTGATAATATAGAGATTAAATTGTCTTCATTTCTTACATGTTTAGAAGTTTTTGCTTTGTCTACCTGCTTACTTGTATATGTAAGCATGAGGGAAATACAACCGTTGCTAATACTGAAATTACAATCAAGTAATTAAGGCCTTAAGTTCATACGTGACTTTGAATGCACTAGCTTCCTTCGTTTTGTAACTAATGTACCATAACTTTCTCCATTCTTGTATTTATGAAAAATTAAGAAACTATGTTCTGAGTGTGTGGTATGTTCCCTTAAAAAAAAAAAAAAAGACACTTGGAAAAGAAAAATATATGAAATTCCAGAAATTCTGATCAAAGAAAAATTCTTAGAGTCTTGCTCTGTTGCTCAGGCAGGGTGCAGTGGTGTGATCTTGCATCCCTGCAGCCTCTCCCTCTTGGGTTCAAGCGATTTTTATGCCTCAGCCTCCTGAGTAGCTGGGATTACAGGTGTGGGCCACCAAGCCTGGCTAATTTTTGCATTTTTAGTAGAGACAGGGTTTTATATTGGCCAGGGTGGTCTCAAACACCTGAATTCACCTGCCTCAGCCTTCCAAAGTGCTGGGATTACAGGCATAAGCTACCGTGCCCAGCCAAGAAAAATAAGACTGTCAAATATTTAGCTCAGATGTTCATCTAAAGTTGATATTATTTGGTATGGGAATTAGTTTTGAACTGTAATCTTTCAAATTGTACCACTTTGAAAACAAGTTTTAACAGTAAGGTAAGAAAAATAGTTATTGAGGGTGTATTCCCCAATTGTGATTTGCCAATTTAGAGACATTCAGGTAATAGTTTTCCTTAGAGCTTTGCACATTCCTATTCACTGAGATTTTTAAAATTTCACCTTTGTTAGAGGGAAGGATCAATGCTTGCTATTTGGAAAAACAAAAGCAGAAGATAAATAAATGATCTTTATTTTCTAGTTTTCAAGGGAAATTAAACTATTCGTGAATAAACTGTTTAAAAATATGAAGTGTCCTTTTCCTTTTCACAATACAAATACAATTTCAGCAGATTGTGATGGTTTGTGCATTTATATCCTGTTAAGCATTAATAGCTAGTCACTGACTGGGACTTAAGTTCTGAAGGTAGGTAGATAGTCTCTTGCTCAGTGAGACGGTTATTTTTTTAGTAGGAAGTGAGAGCATCTGATTTTTTATTCCACACTTTGTAGCCCAGTTTTGGTAGAGGCCATGCTTCTGGGGAGTTCTTTGCAGAAGCACTGGTATCTTGGGAATGAATACTGAGCCATCCCTGGGTTGGTGGAAATAATTATAAATATACATCACTAGGGAAACAGAAACTTTGTCTTCCCCTTCCTACACTTCTGATGGTAAAAATTGTGTGCACTTCAGGCAATTTTGGAAAATAAATTATAAAAAAAAATGCCAGAATCTTTAGGTAGCATCAATTGCTGGGAACATTTCATTCATTTCCCTATAATGTTAATGTTCTTTAAGCATTATCACTAATTACAAGCTGTATCCTATTTTTTTCCACTTAATTTCTCTGGTTTATTGAAAACCAAGTATAAATGTGACTGCAAAAGTATTTTGCTTTGTATTCACTTTCTTAAGGTTATGGACATTTTTATAACGTAACGCTTGATTGGCCTGGCCTGATAATTCCCTTCTAGTTGTGCATACCCTCCTATTGCCATGTGTCTTGTTTTAAAACTCAATTTCATTTCTTCCAGTTCTATGTACAACACCATCTTGAAAGAAGGTATATAGGAAGTTACTGAGATAACTTTTGTAGCAGTGATATTCAACTGTGTCAGTACATTAACTCATGATCTTAGGAAAATAAAAAATAACTTGCCTGAATAGCACCCCCCAGAGATACTGACCTAATTGCAGACGTCTGGGGTGGAGACCTGGCAAGGTAGTTTTTTTTTCAAGCTCCAATCATTGGCTAGACAATTGCTTTACATAGGCTTTTAAATGCCAAAGGCAGATAGGAAGTAGATTTAATTAAGACTTTACTCCAACAATACAGGGAAGCTCTAGAATACTTATTTTTCTTTAAATTGCCGGAGTCACTGTTAGGTATTGCTTAATGTAAAAGCTGTGCTTGTTAGGATTGCTGGAATACTAAAGATTTTGACTTGTGAATAAGTGAGCTGTCAGCGCAAAAAGGCGATTTAAGAAATAGGGACTTGAGGTATTTATTGCCATTTTGCTGACATCCAGAATAACCACCTACCTAAAATGTATTTTGTTCATCATGTATTTCTCAAAGCAAAAGGTGGTTTTCAAGTATGTTTTCAACATGCTTTTACTGTGCCAGGTCTTAGTTTTATGTAAGCTCATTTTGTCATTACTGATAACTTGTGAAATAGATACTTATCTCCATCGTATGGAACAGAGGAGACAAGTTTAGACAGGTTCAGTTTGCTCAAGTCTACACAGCTGTAACAGAGAAAGTGGGATCTAGATGATCTGATCCTAGAGCCCGTGCTCCTAACCATTGTAATCTACCATATGAAGAAAATGGCTTGTGCTCTGATCCAAGTCAAATGTTAACCCCTCACAAACAGTTAGTTTGGCAATTTTGTGATGCTTTTGATTCCACTTTACAGCGAGTACTGTTACTTATTTGTGAAAAGTCTTTAAAACTCTTGATCTAAGTTTTTGAAGACTTCTTTCATCCTTTATCTCCCAAAGAATTGAGAAGAAACAAACTGCCCATTAACGACCTCAGTCCGTGAACAAAATTAATGTGAACATTTCTAAAATGCGTTACTGTAAAATTTATGGAAATGGCTTATGTAACCTTCAAGACTGGAGAACAGAATGTGGCCTTTTCTAATGGTCTTTAAGATTCAATGATTAAACCAAGTGTTTTATTTTTTATAATTTGTGGTCTAAATTCTTGATACTGTTTACAAAGCACAAAAATTGTTATGTAATATAGGCACTTAAGAACCCTGAGGAAAAATACAGATTTTTTTTCGTGTGTGTGAGTTACTGACATGTAGGTTATATATATATATATATATATATATATATATATATATATATATATATATATATATATAAAATGTGGAGGGTTGAAATGGTAAGTAATTGCAATCTTTGCTATTTTTCAGCAATAATTTCTAACCTTAGTACATTTCTTGTTTCAAGAAGTAGAGGTTTGTTAGG